AGGAAATAAGTCATCATTCGTATAATAGATGCTCCCTATAGTCAACAATAAATATTTTCGGTTACTATTACATAATACAATCTCAGATATATTAAGTAAACTATAATAACTTATACAGAATAAGTGGGTAACTATTGATATACCTTTCCATAGGAAATTCTATCAAAAATCTCATTAATTTCATCGGGATTATGAACAGGAACTGATATGGGATGAGAAGTCGTTAGACAATCCAATTCAAACACATCGTGTATTTCGTCGACAACAAACTGCTGAGACTAATTATGTAGTAATGAAATGAGTTATTAATTTTCAATGTAAATCTTATGTAATAATTCGTAAAAATAAATATTCATTGTTCTAAAAAAGTAATGGCAAACAAAAGGTTTATGTAAAACTGATGAGTTAAATTCAGTAAACTTTTTAATTTTTCTTATCATTTAAATTTTAAATAAATACTTAATAACAATTAACTTATAGTTAGTAAATATAATTCATTAATTTTTTATGATAAAATCTTTAAATATCCCTTAGCCATTTTCTGACCAAATTTATAATAAATTTAAAAGTTTATTTAATATTGAAGTACTAATACTGTAACACAACAATACAAGCGTTTAATTCATTAATTTTTTATGATAAAATCTTTAAATATCCCTTAGCCATTTTCTGACCAAATTTATAATAAATTTAAAAGTTTATTTAATATTGAAGTACTAATACTGTAACACAACAATACAAGCGTAGAGTATATCTACAGTATGATAAGTTATTTAGTGTTATAATAGTCAAATTATGCAAATTTTAAATCGTGAGGATCTGATTATAAGATTTCAAATTTATAACTTCTTTTATTTCTAATATGAATGTCAGTTGAATAAGAATATTAATTTTAATGTATAAGCCTCAAATAAATCTGTAATTAATTCGATGATATTCTTTGCTTTGTAAGACTAATTTTAAATTATACAAATTATATCAAGTTTTACACTAATTATTAATGTAAGCAAAAAATAAAAGATAAGTCATTACAAACCATTTGCCATTTGGGGTGAACGGCATTCACGCCCTCGTACTCCATAAAAGATGCAAATCCCTCGTTGAGCCTAAATATAATCAAATTCATAAATATGTCATAAAATATGAAAACAAAATTATTAGCCAGACCAGAGGTCTTCCCACCACTTGGGGGTCACCAGATTGCCAAACCATTGATGAGCCAATTCATGGGCTTGAATGCAATTATTGAAATTATGTCATTTGATTGGACACCTGAATGGATAGCCATTACCTATAACTGTGGCCACTCTTTGCAAGTTATGCGACGACGAGACCGACGGGTCGTAAAGCATTGCTGTCTCGCGATATATAATTAGACCCCAATTCTCCATCGCACCGGCATTCAAGTCGGGAACGGCTACCATATCTGCATAATTGTTTATAAATTAAATTAAATATGAGTTAATGTTGAACTCATTTGAATAATTGATTCAAACAAACCCATTTTTGGCAAAGGGTAAGAAATGTTGAAATAATTTTCATAGTATTGGAGTATTTTTGGGCCCACATCTAGAGAGTAGTTGGCAGTGGCGATGGCACCGGCTCTCGCCCAGACACTAAACTGATATTCACAGCACATATTTAGTTATCCTATTTATCAATATTTTTAAAAATAAATTTTCCATCAAATTTTATCTTTAATAAATGAAATAGATTTTTTCAATTCAATACCTTTACCCCTAAACTTATTTTTCTTTTTCTGTCTATCAATAGGTTATATTCTAAATAGTTTAAAACTTTTTAAATTATGTTTTTATTAATGTTTTCAGATATCGTGAAAATCTAGATCAAAATTTGATAGACAAAAATTTTATAAATGTATTCAAATTAATACAATATTATTTATGTCAAGATAAACTAGTAGGTATTTATGTAATATAATTCACTATTACTACAGTAAAGTGATTATAATTTTTAAAAGAAACTTAACGAGAATAAGAATTGAAATAAGAATTTTTCTTATAAAGTCAGTTATTTTGATTGAAGAACTTAAGAGGAAATTAAAAATATTTTCATTTAAATGACAAAAGTAGGCACACCTGATAGGAGTTTAGATATCTAATGTATTTTTAAATGATATTCATGTCATAGAGTCTATGACATAGACTAATAATTGGCAAAATAAATGTGAACTCACTTTTGCATTTTGATCGGAAATAAAGTGGAAATCACTGACACAGAAGGCCAACAAATATGTAGACATTCTGACGGTTTTCTCAAACGT